ACTGACGCGGCCGTGGGAGAGGTTGCACATAGCCCTTTCCACTGCATGAGCTATCCAGCAAAGGACATGATGATCATACTAGATGGCCCTGTCCAGCCCTCCACGCTCGCTCTTTCTCTGCCACACTCTGCTCATCCTTGTCCTCACCCATGGACCACCCCTCAGCAGAAGGCTGGCTCTTCCACTGAGGTCTCCCACCTGGGAATCACAAAGACACATCATCTTGTATTGTGTGCATCAGTTCAGTTCACTCCAGTTCTGTCCTCCTACAGGTTGGGAACGCTTCTGGTGCGGTCCTGGTGGATGATGCCCCTGGGTGGGTAACAAAGCATGTGTGTCATATTTCCTTGCTCCTGCACGGCATAGGAAGCTCTCTGGGACCTGGTGCCTGCTTATCTCCCCATACCCATCTCCCTCCACCCCAGACTTCAGTTTACACTCACAGTGGATGCCAGGGCAGACCCTGCCAATCCAGTCACTCTCTTGCTTTCAGCCTCAAATTCCACATTGTGAAAGGAGAATAACCCGGCCTCCTTGAGAGGTTTGTTGGGAGACCTACAGGAGACAATGGATGTAGAACACCTAGCTCATGTTACCTGGCCCAAGGAAAGAGCTAAATAAACGGCAGAGCCATCTGTCACCCTTCTTTAATCCACAGCACCTGGTATGCAAATGGTAAGATTTCCTTCTTTTGTTAGGCTAAGTAATATCCCCCTTGTATACATGTACCATACTTTGTTATCCATTCCTCTGTCTCCATTTTCTTTGCTATTGTGAATAATGCTGCAAGAAACGTGGGAGTGCAGATACTGCATCTCTTTCAGATCCTGATTACAGTTTCTTTAGGACGCAGGTACCCAGGAGTGGGATTGCTGAGTCATACTGTAGTTTCAACTTTAATTTTCTTTGCAGGGCCTCCACAGTGTTTCCCACTGTTCCACTGTGGCTGTGCCATTTCACATTCCCACCAACAGTGTACCAGGGTTCCAGTTTCTCCACATCCTCACCAACACTGACCTTTTTTTTTTAAATTCCCATCCTAACATGTATGACCCACCTCTTATTGTGGTTTTGATTTGCATTTCCTCTATGATGCGTGATGTGGCACACCTTTTCATACACCTGTTGCCTATTTGTATGTCTTCTTTGGAGAAATGTCTTCAAGTCCATTGCCCATTGTTAAAATGAGCTTGTTTTCTTGCTCTTGGGTTAGAAAGATTTGTTATGTGTTTTGAAAATTAATCCCTTATCAGATAATATGGTTTGCAAATATTGCCACCCGTTCTGTAGGTTGCCTGTTTGCTCTTTTGGCGGCTTCCTTTACTGTGCTGGAGCTTTTCAGTTTGATGTAATCCCACTTGTCTATTGTTGCCTCTGCTGCCTGTGCTTTTGGTGTCATTTCCATAAAATCATTGCCAAGACCAATGTCAGGCACGCTTTCCCTATGTTTTCTTTCAGGAATCTTACAGCTTCAGGTCTTACATTTAGTATCTTTAACCCACTTTGAGTTTATATCTGTGTGTGGTGTAAGATGGGGGTCCAGTTCCATCCTTTTGCATGCAGATAGGCAGTTTTCCCGGCACCGTGCGTTGACAAGGCTGTCCTTTCCCCGTGAGGTATCCTTGGTGCCCTTCTCACGATAGCTGGCTGTGTTCTGTTACGTTGGTCTGTACATCTGTCTCTCTGCCAACACCATACTAATTTACTGACTGTAGCTCTGTAATAGGTTTTGCAGTGAGGAAGTCGGATGACCGCAGCTTTGTTCTTTCTCAGGGTTGCCTTGGCTCTTCTGGATCTTTTGTTCCACATGAATTTTAGAATTGTTTTTCTATTCTGAGAAAATGCCGTTGGGCATTTGATGGGGCTAGCATTGAATTTATCATTTTTCTTCTTAACTTTTACCTTAATCTGTGGGTTGCACTGATTGATCAGTTGGTTATCTTCATAGTCTGTGGATTGCACTGGTTGGTATTCAGCTATTGAACCACCTTGCATTCCTGGGCTAACCCATGCTCGTGGTGTGCTGTTCTTCTCCTATATTGCTGGATTCCATCTGCTAGTCTTTTGTTGAGGAATTTTGTGCTTATGATAAGAGAAAATACCAGTCTGTAGTTTTCTTTCTTGGTATCGGTGAAATGCTAGCCTCATAAAATCAGTTCTGGCGGAAATTGTGTAGAAATTTTTGTTTTTATTCCTCTCAGTATTTGGTAGAATTCGCCAGTGATACATTCTGGAGGTTTTGCCAGAGGTTTTAAGCTACCAGTTCTATTTCTGTAGAAGAAACTGGACTATGCGTGCAGTTTCACCTTGGGTAAGTTTTGCTGGTTTATGTTTTTTTAGTAACTGGTCCATTTCTTCTAAGCTGTTTCATTTATATATATGTAGAGTTGAATGTAGTATTGCCATATTGTCCCCTTCATATATTTTCCGTGTCTGGAGTGAAATCTCCTCTTTCATTCCTGCTGTTGGTACCTTGTTTCTTCTCTCTCTCTCTCTCTCTCTCTCTCTCTCTCTCTCTTTCTTTTCCAGTTTTATTGACAAATAAAGAGCATACAGCACGGTATAAGTATACAGCATAATAATTTGAGTTACATATATCATGAAGTGATTGCCACACTAAATTTAGTTAACATCCATCATCTCTTATAGAGACAAGAAAGAGAAAAAGAAAAACATTTTTTCCTTGTGATGAGATCTCTTAGGATTTACTCTCTTAATAACTTTCATATATACCACACTGCAGTGTTAAGTATTGTCATCATGTTACACATTAGATCTCTTGTAGCTATTTATCTTAAAACTGGAAGTTTGTACCTTTTGACCACCTTCCTCCAATTTCCCATCCTCCCCACCACCACCTTTTATAACCACATATCTGAAATCTTTTTCTGTAAGTTTGGTGTTTTGGGGGATTTTTTGTTTTAGCTTTTTTTTTCTAAGTTTGGTGTGGGTTTTTCTCTTGTTTATTTTAGATCCCACATGTAAGTGAGACCATCCAGTATTTGTCTTTCTCTGCCTGACTTACTGCACTAAACATAATGCCCTCAAGATTCCTTTTTTATGCCTGATATGTTCCACATCTCCTTTACTCACTCGCCCATCGATAGATACATAGGCTGCTTCCACATCTTGGCTATTGTAAATAATGCTGCTGTGGACATGACAGTGCAGATACGTCTTTGACATAGTGCTTTTGTTTCATTTGGATATATTCCTGGAATTGGAATTGCTGGATCATACAGTAGCTCTCTTTTTAATTTTTTGAGGACCTTCCATACTGTTTTCCATAGTGGCTGTGCCGGTTTACAATCCCACCAACAGTGAGTGCACAAGGGCTCTTTTTTCTCCACATCCTCACCGTCCTTTGTTATCTCTGGTCTTGCTTATGCGAGCCATTCTAACAGATGTGAGGCGATACCTCACTGTGGCTTTGATTTGCATTTCCCTAGGGATTAGGGATGTTGAGCATCTTCTCATGTACCTGTTGGGCATTCATATATTTTCTTTGGAAAACTGTCTACTCACATCCTTTGTCCATCTTAAAATTGGATGATTGGGTTTTTTTCACCATTGATTTGTATGAGTTCTTTATATATTTTGAATATTGACCCCTTTCCAGACATATGTTTGCAAATGCTTTTTCCCATTCCATAGGTTGTCTTTTCATTTCATTGATGGTTTCTTTCGCTGTTGCAGAAGCTTTTTAGTTTGATGTAGTCTCACCTGTTTATTTTTTTTTAATTTTGTTCTTTGTGCTTGGGTTTCAGATCCAAAAGTTCATTGCCAAGACCCAAGTCAAGGAGCTTCCTTCCTATCTATTCTTCCAGGAGTTTTATGCTTTCTGGTCTCACAAGAAGTCTAATCCATTTTGAGTTAATTTTTGTGGTTGGTGTAAGAAGGGGGTCTGGTTTCATTCTTCCGCATGTGACTATCCCATTATCCCAGCACCATTTATTGTAGAGACTGTCTTTTTGCCATTGGGTATTCTGGGTTCCCTTGTCCCATATTAGCTGACTGTATGTGCTAAGTTTTGTTTCTGGGCTTCTGATTCTGTTCCATTGCTCTGTGTGTCTGTTTTTATGCCAGTACCATATGTTTTGATTACTACAGCCTTATAACCATAGCTTGAAATCAGGAAGGGTGATGTACCTTGCTTTGTTCTTCCCTCACTTTTTTTTTCCTTTATCAGTCCCGCTAGAGGGTTATCAATTTTATTGATATTTCAAAGAACCAGCTCTTCAGTTAATTTAGTTTCTCTATTTTTTTTTTTTTATATTAGCTGACTGTATGTGCTAAGTTTTGTTTCTGGGCTTCTGATTCTGTTCCATTGCTCTGTGTGTCTGTTTTTATGCCAGTACCATATGTTTTGATTACTACAGCCTTATAACCATAGCTTGAAATCAGGAAGGGTGATGTACCTTGCTTTGTTCTTCCCTCACTTTTTTTTTCCTTTATCAGTCCCGCTAGAGGGTTATCAATTTTATTGATATTTCAAAGAACCAGCTCTTCAGTTAATTTAGTTTCTCTATTTTTTTTTTTTTTTCCGGTTAGAGATTTCATTGATTTTTGTTCTTATTTTTTAGTAAAAGGAATTCTTATTTGTACTTACTGGGAACATTGAGATGGTACCCATAGGCTTGAACGTCTGTTTTAACTAGATGAAAGCTGGTGAAAATTCACAAGGGTGTGTCACTATGGCGCAAATGCTGCGATTTCAGTCACAGTCTACTTTCTCGTTCTACCTTCTCAGTCTGCTTTCATCATACCACACAACATGTCATATGGATGCAACAGTTGATCTCACTTCTAAAACCTTTATTATATGCCATCAGTATTCTGAGCTCTTGAGGTGTATTATCTCATTTAACATGCAGAACAGCCCTAAGGAAGTAAGTCTCATTATTACTCCTATTTTACAGGTAGGAAACAGAGGGGGAGAAAGGTTAAGTGTGATGAATCGTAATGAGTTTCCTTTCTCCTTTTATCACCATTTGTTGCAGTCTGGGTTCCTCTGGCCCTCCACGTCCCTTGCTACCTTCTAGCTCTTCAGGAACTTTCATCTTTACCTTCCCGTGCAGACCCAAGGGCCAGGTGGAGCCTCGAGTACGGACTACACCCCCATGGAGCCACTCGAGGAATGTAACTCAACGCTGATTTCTGAATCTTCCCCGATGGCCTCTGAAGACACTTCCCGGGAAGTCCTGGCAGCCTGTCATCCTTCCTTCTCAGAACTGCTAATGGGGTGCCTCAGTGACCTGAACCCCAGCCCTGGCACCAACTACCCTGCCCCTCTGCCAGAGGGGCTGCTCCAGCAGCGGTACAGAGATGAGAAAACCCTGCTAGAGAGGCGGTGGGAAAGGTCAGCATCGCCCCAGAGGAAGAAAACCTTCCTGGGCCACATGAGACGGAGACGCCTTGATCACGTGGCCCCTTATCGGGCTCAACGGGAAGCCAGAATCTCTGTCTCGGGTGATAGGGATCAGAACAGATTCAGATGTGAATGTCGGTACTGCCACAGCCATAGGCCGACAGTTTCTGGGATGCCTGTGGAGAGGAATGGCGCCCCACATCCTTCCTCCTGGGAAATGCTAGTTCAGGGCCTCAGTGGCTTGAGCCTCAGCCTGGGTGCCAACCAGCCCAGCCTTCTGCCAAAAGAGGTGCTCCAGCAGCAGGAGAGAGAGGAGAAGCTCCAACTAGAGATGCAGCAGGAAAGCAAAAGAATGTTTCAGAGGCTCCTCAAACAGTGGTTAGAAGAACACTGACACTTTTCATCCATCATGGGATGGAGATCACGACGGATTCAGACACGGATGCTGGTGTCGCCGGATCGTGGGTGTGGAGTCCTTCTGGGGCAAAACAGTAAGCAGTACTCATAGGGGTAACAAGAGCAGACTAGTGACTGAAAACCCTGTCAGCATGAGACGTGATCTGATCCCAGGAAGGTCCCGACCTTTCCTGCCTGCCTGGAATGTCTGGATTGCTTTGGCAAGGGAGACCGTGTACCAGTGGTCCTTAACTACTGTATCGTGGCTCCCATGATGCATGTTGTCACTTTATCACCCTGGATCGCTGTCTTTCCTCCCTACTTTGTTGTCAACAGATATATAAAGTCTCTGTAGCATGAATGCCCTGCCCATGGCCATGTCATTTTGTGCCACGTTATTGACTGACTCCCGAAGAAGCACAAGGTCTGCTGGAATGCACGTGTGCTGAACTGAAATCCAGTTTCAAGAATCTGGGGCTAAACAAAGTGTGGGAAAGGGATGTGGAATTGGAACTTGGTGGCTCACCATTGTGTTATTTGTGCAAGCTATTCCGTGTATGCTGAGCTAACTGTACATAAGTGTTGCCCTGCTTCCTAACATCGAGCACTATCCCCACTTGTAGGAATTTCTGACGGGTTACCTCGTCATCAATACCAAATAAATATACGTATAAAAGGTACCTGACTTCAGAATTTGGGTTTTGTTCATCTGTTTGGCTTGTTCTTTGTCAGATCTGAGATCGTGACATTTAAGTCCCAGAGCCAGAGCAGAGTTTATCAAGAGGCGCTCCAAACTGTGCAGATTTGGAAGAGGGGAGGCGGGAGGCGGGAGGGCACCAGACACCACCATCAAGTCACCATTTGCCACCCTGCAGCAGGAGCAGCCTTCAGATCATCCAGGCTGAGCTAATGGAAGAGAGTCCTCCTGCCCCCAGTGAGTGTGAAACAGAGTCTACCGCCAACAGCAGGAGAACCTAGGCATTTGGGCTCCAGGGGCCATCCTCTTGCCTGGTGTCCCCGGGTCGGTGAATGTGGGCAGCAGTGTCATGCCTGCTGCGTCTTGAGAGCCAGAGTGTCACTGAATTATTTAAGACGCATGCTGGAATTGACGTATGTGCCTTTTCATTTCAGGAGGCATGAAGGTTTACTTCTACCTTTCCCCACCCCCAACCCCGCAGTATTCAGTGGCCTATACACAGGAAGGGGCCACACAAATCCTCTGAAAGGAAAGTCAATTCTGCTTTCTGTCAGTGTGTGTTTTAAGATGGTGCCCAGAGCTGTATGGCTGCAAAAATGTACGAGCCTTCTGCAGGAGAGACGTGGCATGAGAATAGGTATCTTTACTACCTTCTGAACTTGTGATCTCATCAGAGAGCTTGGGAGCTCAGCTGGCTCTGCTAGGCTTGTCTTCCAGCTCCAGGGGAAGAGGTAAATAAAGCATGGCTTTTCTTTTGTGAAACTCCAAGGCCTAAATTCAGACTGGTCGCTTGCAGTGTGTTTGGCAGAGGTGACATGGCATCTCACTTTCATTGATTGTTTCGGCACGTCAGATGATACTCTCTTGTTATTTCCACATATAAGCTTATTTAATTTTCTCCCTTGCACCTATCATTCAGCCAGATTTCAACCCCAGTTTATGAGGTGGGAAAGCAGAGTACAGCAAAGTTAGGGGACTTTCTCAGGGTCACGCAGGCAATCAGCGGGGGAATGGCACACAGAGGTAGGCCGACTGGATTCAGAGCCCACAGCCTCAACCAGCTGACCAACGGTAACCTCTGTAAAGGCTGGGGGCGACATGTGAAGAGCCGGTGACGTCAATGGAAGTTGCTCAGTGGGCAGCACCAGTGTCGGTAAGGCACATCCTCGGCTCCTCCCCATGACTGGGGCAGGAACAACTGCCCCACCTGGCAGAGTTCATGGAGGTCGTAAACTGATGGCCTCAGTCCAGCAGCCACACCAGGTCAGTCCTGCTGACCACAGTCAATTGTTTAGCCACTCAGGTGGGTTTTCATTGTCTCCCCTTGCCTTCCCCACTCGTGCTAGGCTGGATGTTGGGGCGGGAAAGTGAGGAGGAACTGCAGACCAGTCCCTGCCCTCAGAGTTGAGCCTTTAATCAGGAAGAGATCTGACACCAGAGATGTGGTAGAGAGCTTGTCGTTGGTCCCCCGTGAGGCTCGGTTGCCTGGAGATGAGAGGAGTGAGAAGGATCAGGGTGCGGTGATGTGCACACGGTGGGTGGGAGGGTAGCCCAGGGTGGTCCTAACTACAGAGTTTCATGAGGGCCCATGGAGAATGGGTGGGCAGGTGTAACTGAGGGACTCAGTGGCACCACCCCATCCCCACCTCAGAGTCTCTGTCGCCATACCTGTGTATGGAGTGTCGGAGGGGAACTGGGGGTTCACATGTGGGACAGCATTCTGTCCCAAGTTACAGATCAGGAACCAGAATCCAGTGATGTCCAGAGATGTCCACATATCAAATTCCAGACCATAGACCAAGCCAGAGGCACCAGGACAAGGAAATATTGGGAGAGAATGGGGGTTAGAACGTAACGCACAAATATGAAACCCGAATGGACCTATAGTAAGTTAAATCAAATTACTAAATTAAAAACCTTCCCACAAAGGAAAGCCCCGGGCTAGCTGGCTTCGTTGGTGAATTCCATGAGACGGTCAAAGAAAAATAATACCCATCCTTCACAGATGCTTCTATAATAGAGAGGAAAAAATATTTCCCACCTCATCCTATGAGAACAATATTACCCTGCTACCAAAGCCAGATGTGACATCACAAGAAAACTGTAGACCAATATCTATCATGAATGTCGACACAGAAATTCTCAAGAAAATATTAGCAAACCAAATTCAGCAACTTGACAAAGCGAGGTTTTATCCCAGGTTTACAATATTGGATTAATATTCAAAATTCAGTTAAGGTAGACACCATATTAATATGATAAAGGACAGACACCATCTGATCACAATGATGGACAAAAGGGACTTGGCAAAATTCAAGACCCATTCATGATCAAAATGCTCCACCAGCTAGGGATAGAAGGGAACGTCCTCATTCTGATGAAGGACATCTAGGAGACATACAGCTCATGTCAGATTATATTTAGCAGTGAAACAATGAGTGCTTTCTGCTCGAGATCCAGACCAGGGCAAGGATGTCTGCTGCCACCACTTCTATCCAACACTGACTGAAGGTTGTCACCAGTGCAGTCATGCAAGACAAATGAAAACATGGAAAAATTAGAAAAGACGCCTATGTCCACTGAGTACCAAGACTCGTACTCCGATGTTCATGGCAGCATGGTTCGTAATTGCCAGAAAGTGGAAACAGCCTAAAAGACTGTCAGCTGGTGAGTGGATAAACAAAACGTGGTGTACCCATACCGTAGACTACCATTGATTGATAAGAAGGGAAGAACTTCCGATTTCTGCTACAAAGTGGATGAGCCTCCAAAGCATTATGCTAGGTGAAAGAAGCCAAAAGCAGAAGGCCAGTTACTGCATGAATCATTTTACATGAAATGCCCAGAGAGAGCAAATCTGTAGAAACAGAAATTAGATTAGACTTTGGGGCTGGAGGTAATAATGGGGATTGATTTCAAACAGCTACCGGGGATCTTTTTGGTGTGATGGCAATGTTGTAAAACTGGATTGTGGTGATGGTTGCACAACGCTGTAAATTTACTGAAAGTCACTGCATTGGTTGTACCCTTTAAGTGGATGCATTTTGTGGTATGTAAACTACACTTCAAAAAAGCTGTTTAGGAAGTGGAGTTCAAGTGTCCAAGTAAATCATGGAGGAAAAGGCATGCCATTGCTTTCACAGCACTAAGGATCCCCTCACTCCCTTTCCATGGGACCTGCCTACGTGACCCATCATCGTCTGCCTCCTCATGTGCACTAGACTCTCCTGCCAGATAGTCAGTGTGCACATAGGGCCGAAGGAGTGCTGGGAGTACACGCGTCTGCAGCTGTGCGTGCATGTGTGCACGCGCAGGCACCCTTTAATGGTTGAGTCACACAATTCATGGCTGCGGGCAGGCTCTCATAATCCATCGTGGGTTGGAAATGCCACTTAGGTGTTTTTCCATTCTTCACCAATTCCGTGCACGGTTTCAGTTTCCCTGGTAACCAACCTCACCCTTTGCTTCAACCTCTGCTCCCAGGATGGCATGTAGAGTGGGGAGAAGTATTGTCACCCCCATAGGACCTCCTGCCAGAGCTCAGCGACCCAGTGGGGGTGTGCAGCAGAGCGGTAACCAAGACAACGGAATTCCAGCTGCCTTTCCACCGGAGGCCCTTCCCCCTTCCCTCTGCCTGCCTGGGTTGGGGCATAAACACACTCCTGAGTCCTTGGAATTGTTCTAAATTGGCTGTAAAATAAATACGTCAGAAATAGCTCTTGAAAGAGAAGATAGAATATTTTTTTTTAACTTCAGTAATAAACACGGCTCTGAAGTTCAAGGTTCTATTTAAAACAAAGACAGAGTGTGTGCTTATGCTTCTACACCTCAGCTGCGCATCAAATCTCCCGGTTTGAAAAGAGCAGGTGCTGGCGTGCCATCGCCAGAGAGCCTGAATTAGTAGGTCTGGAATGTGCTCCCCACATGAGCATTATTTGAAAACCTCCCGTACAAAATCCTAGGTTGTAGCTGTGGAACCAGAACCACACTTAGAAGAGGAAACCTAAAATCGGAAATTTGAGACTCCTCTTTACAAAGCTAATCAGGTTTTCATCATGACGTGCTGTGCTTGGCAGGTATCTTACGCTGAGGAAAGGAAAAACATGTCACAGTAAAAGCGTGTTTTAAAACTGACATTGTGCTTACTATTCTCCATGTTCCTGAAATCAAGGTTTTGAAGTTAAAACCCTGCATTGGCTAGTGACACGTATCACTTCTTATTCTTGTCAAGGTCCCTCATGCTTAGTTCCTTTAAAAGTTTGTGAAACATCGTATAGATAACTTCATGAGGTGGATCACAACAGTTCTTTGAAAATTACAGATGGCTGAAATTTGTGTCAGTGCATAGAGATCGATCAGCTGTCAGACGTATCTGCTAAGTTTGCTGAGTTGCATTTTTCAACTTTTTGTGATATTTTGTTACCGAAATAATTCCTGTGCTCAGATAAAAGACCAAATAGGACCACGTATTTACGGTGAAAAATAAAATTGAGCAATCCCTTGTTTCATGGACACCTGTCTCCCCAAACTTTCCCTTTGAGCAGTTTCTCTCTGCATATTCCCAAACGATGGGCTTATACTGCTATGTCCTGATTTGTTGAGTTTAGATATTGCCTGTTGAGTTCTTACAGAAGATGAGGATTGCAGTGTCTCAGGTATATTACAAGGCCCTAGCCTTCTCCTTGCAATCCCTGGGTTGGGGGGGGTGTCGGGTCAGGGGGTTGGAACCCACCCAAACCCAAACCAGAGCATACACCTCTGTTCAGGACATGTTCAGATTGTGTCTGCCAAGAAGGAGCCCTTCCAGGGACTTTACTGTGGCAATATGAAAATCATGGTTCAGCCTTTTCCAGAGCAGGTCCAGGGGAATCATGGGGTGATGGAGAGCACACCTGGCAGCATCCCCAGGATCTGGGGTTTAGGAATTGGGTGAATGGTAGCACGCATCCATGAGACAGGGAGTGTAGATTTGGGGTCACCTGCAGATT